GGTGCCAGCTGATCCATCTAGTGCAGGGTCTGCAAAATATCTGAAGCACTGATCTCAGGTTTTATGACAGTGATGCTATCGCCAGGACTGACTTGGGGAGCATCAGAATCTTGTAGTATCCAGGGGCATGACTCCTAAACCAAAATTTCTAACTTGTTGACTAATTTATTAGTCCTACAAAAGCAGTCTAGTCCCAGGCAAGAAGGGGGATTGTTTTGGGCAAAGGCTGTTATCTTTATCTTTGTTTCAAACTATAATCTGTAAATTAAATTCCTCTTAAGGTTAGTTCAGCCTATGCCTGGGAATGAACAAAAACAGCTTGGAGGTCAGAAACAGGATGGAGCTGGCCAGGTCAGACCTGTGTCACTGTCTCAGTTACAATTCTGCATTGACAGTTGCAGGAGGTCCCTCTGGGGAAGTAGAAGTGACCAGCATTGGGCAGGAGTTAGAAAGCTCTTACAACACAGAATGAACACGTTTGTGGTGACTTGAACCCTAAAAGCAAGTGCCAACCACTCAGTAAATAAACCCTAGATGAAGGGTGGGGAGGGGCTGAGGGAGCCCTATCCCAACTGGAAAATCTAGGCAGGACCTGGCCCACTGTGGCTTAAGGGGCTCTGGTGTCGAGTCTTGGAAAGAAAGAGCTATAGTAGCTTCCCGACATGATGGCCAAAGTCCTCTTCCACTTTCCTATTACCAGCCTTTCTGTTCAGCCTTTAGTTACCACCTCTCTAATGGAGGGAAAGTTTAATAGACAAACAAGTATCCCTTCATCCTGGAAGCCCAAGGGAGTCCCTGACATGTGCCAGGCACTGCAGCCAACGTGGGGGACAGCAAACAAGCCAGGGACAGGATGGTGACACACACAGCTCCTGAGTGACGGGCTGGGCTGGGAGGGAGTGGGCTCCACAGACAAGGCAGGGAAAGGGACTCCAGGGAGAGGGAGCAAGAAGATGAGGAGGGGGCACCTAGTTCCTCTCTAGGTCCTCTTTGGGCAGCCTGGAGCGCCAGTGGGGAGGGAGGACAGTCCCTAAGCAACCAGACTGCTGGGGAAGGCGAGCTATTGGTTTCCTGCAGAGGACAGACAGCATCAAACCTAAGTTTGAAGATCATTCTGCAGTAAGAAGGCAGTCCATACAGCCCTCAAGAGACAAGCAGGTGGCTCCTGGCACAGCCCCAGCAGGGGAAGGGAATAAGGGGTACAGGATGCCCAGTGGCACTGCCAGGTTGCTGGCATGGCTGATTTAAAAAACTTAGGGAGGGACAAGATCTGGGGCTGGGTGGAGAAGAAAAGAAGACTCCCCTTGGACATCTAGACTCAGCCCCTGATCTGCAGAGGAACATGGTCAGCTGCCGGGGCCCTGCTCCCCCCACCTCCTTTTTCTCCACTGTCTGATCCTGTGCCTCAGGGACCAGGACGCCCACCCACAGATGACTCATAGGACCCAGCAAGTCTCCAGGAAGCCAATGGCTTCCCTGACATTTCCACCAGGATGTCACAAAGCCAATGGCCTCCCTGACATTTCCACCTGGATGTCACAAAGCTTTCAAATTCAGCCTCCTCCCCTGCCACACCCCTCTGACCTACTTTCTCTCAGTTCCACGTTGTGGTTGGCCAGGCAAGCCTTCCTGACATCTGTCTGCCTTCCACCCCTGTTTCTTTCTCACCCGGATCTCTAAGCTCCATCCATTTCTTTTCAACACCTCTGGGTGCCAGTAACATCTGCTCCCACAGACCACTAGGGCCTCTGTACATACTCATCTGGTCACCAATCTGTTTACATTCCTTTCCTGGTCTCTGGCTATAATTAAGCAAAACTGTTCCTTGATCCACAGCCCAGACCCTTCATTAAACTTAGGCGCTAAACTCTGTTAAGCCTGAGCTTCAGGACCAAAGTGAGCAGAGGAAATGAGAGAGGCCTGGCACAGAGGGGACAGCTCCTATCCTCGGGGCCTGTTCAGCATCGAGTTTTCCCACTAGGTTTGGTTCCCTAGACAGGACAGAGATCTGGGCAGGAAGGGACTCTGCCCAGGGTGTCCAGGTCAAGAGTCCCAGAGGCAAAGCAGAACACAGCTCTGCACTGGGGAGGGCTGGAAATGAGACAGGGTCTTGGCAGGTCTCAAGGCTGACGAACCACACCCAACACCAGTGGAGAGCACTGGAGGGGGAGACCCTCTGGCAGGGGGCCTGGGGGGACTTGGGCACTTGGAAGTTAACAGAAGTTCCCATGGCAATCTGGGGCCCTGAGCCCATGAGCCAGGTTGGGGGCTGGTGAGGCCCTAGGGAGGAGGTCTGGGAGGATGGGTGAGGCTGGTTGGGGGAATGAGGCCATAGGAGGTGGGTAATGTGGCCCCTTTGGGTATCCTGAAGAAAAACCCCAGCTCTGGCCCTCATTCAGGAAAGTCTTTAATGATTTGTTTTGGGGATTGAGAGAGCCAGGTGTGCACTGGAGTGGGCAGAGCAGGAGTCCCTGAGCAGAGACCCGCTGGCAGAAGATCACGGAATGCTACACGGGGACATTTCTACCATCTCTGCAGTGAAATCCCAGTTGAATACTACCCCAACAGGGAGCTCACTACCCCACCAGTTAGGCCTGAAGTACCATTGGGCATCCAATTCTCTGTTTCTGCTGGAGGAAAAGGAGGGAATCTGGGTGTAGGGTTCCTCATCATTCCAGTGGGGCTGGCAGCCTCTTCTGACTTCTCAGGTGTGGACCTTTGCAGAAACACACGGATGGGTGACGCCTCAGCCGGTCATTCTCCCATCCCCACCCCCAGAAAGCACTAGCTCTCAGTCCATAGTGAGTTCATGGTCTGGTGATGTCCTTCTTTCACCCTCACCCACCCCACCAGTCACTAACCATGGTATTTGGGTGAGGGGGGCTGGCTCTGAAGCTCCCTCCCCAGTGGAGTGAGCTGACATTCTCACATCTAGCTCAGCTATTTTGAATCCAGAAGGACCTTTTCTATATCCAGAAAAGCACAAGGACGTTGACAGTGATGTTGGGTAGGTTATGTCCCTGTCTGCAGTGCTCAACTGGCAACAATTCAGGAGCTTCAGCGATGAGTCACAGGGCCAAGCTGCTCACCAGTGACCAGGACAAGGCCTCTTTGTCCTAAAAATGGTTTGCATTTCCCTTCAGCTCACCCACACCACACGATGCCTACTAAAGATCCGTGACACTAACCCAAGGCTGTCACCTGATGTCACTCTGCTGTTCGGTACACATACACACACACACACTAACCCAAGGCTGTCACCTGATGTCACTCTGCTGTTCAGCACACACACACACACACACACACACTAACCCAAGGCTGTCACCTGATGTCACTCTGCTGTTCAGCACACACACACACACACTAACCCAAGGCTGTCACCTGTCATTCTGCTATTCGGTACACATACACACACACACACACACACACACACACTAACCCAAGGCTGTCACCTGATGTCACGCTGCTGTTCGGTACACACACACACACACTCTCTCTCCAGTCCTGGCCCACAAAGTCTCGTCTAAACACACAAGATGCTGCCTAGACGGTGTGGAGCCTCTTCCTTTTAACAACTGTTTTCCAATTTCAGGAAATGGGACAATTAACTGAAACAGAAGAAAACTAGGGAACCATCTGCATGACATCATGTGTGAGTGCCTGGTCCAGCCGGTTCTGACTATCCTTGATCTTTCCAGAGCCTTTACAAAGCCCTGTTCTCCTTGCAGGGTGTTAAGGGTCACAGACCTGCACTGAGAACTTATGAAGACCACTAACACCCCTTACTTCAAGATTCCAGGGTAGCTTTGTCCGTTACTGTGGTCACAACTACCGCCAGGACGACCTACGGGTCACCATGCTGAGCTGCTTCAGGAGCCAACTCAAGCCCCACTCTCTGGGGAGTGTTCCCAGACCCTCAGAACCAGTTTGGGAGTTTGGGCTCTGCTCACGGATGTTCTGCTTCCCTGGCCAGCTGGGAAGCAGAGGCGAGTCCCAGCTTCCCTTGCTGCAGCATACCCTGCGGCCATTTTTCCAGGGTCTTGCTCTGTCACCCAGCCAGGAGTGCTCTAACAGCTCCCTGCAGCCCTGACCTGCCAGGCTTGGGCGATTCTCCCACCTCAGCCTCCTGAGTAGCTGGGACTACAGGTATTTGCCATCACACCCTGCTGACTTTTAAATTTTTTTGTAGGGTTATGGGGGTGGTCTATGTTGCCCAGGCTGGCCTTGAACTCCTGGCCTGAAGCAATCCTCCTACCCTGGCCCCCCATAGTACTGAGATGACAGGTGTGAGCCACCTTGTCCAGCCAGAACTTTGGGTAGGTGGTGAGGCACAGGGAGGTGGCACTGGCCACCAGCAGACACATGCAGGAGCGTCTGTCTATAGCAGTGGGGGTGGTGGCGGCAGCTCTTCAAACCCACCCCAGGACCCACCCCACCTGGCACTGGCTGGTGGTCACGCTTCCAATTGGAAGAACCCTGAGCCATGCTGTAAAGGGACAACAGAATAAATCATGGGACCCAGGCAGGTGCTCCCTAGAGAACAGGGTGGTGAGTCAGAGGCTTGACCCCACCTAAGCTCTTCCTCAGGGTAAGATTGGTTCAGTGTTCAGGAAGCCAATACCTGGCTTGTTGGGGGATGAAGCTCTTGGCCAGAGGGGACCCCAGGGTGTGCTGGTAAGGGGCCCCATCTCCAGGTTGGAAGCGCTGCTTGGTCTCTAGGACACACTAATTAACAAACGTGTGATTAGAGTGAACCCGCAGGCACGCTGGCTCAAACGCAGAGGCACAGAGCACAGAGTACTTTTTTCAAGGTGGCATGTGGGAAAAGACCCAGAACAGGGAAAACTCAGGCCATGGGATGAGGGCCTGCAGGCCGTGGTCATGGCTCCCCCTGTCCAATGAGGAGGGCTGTTTCCCAGGCGGGTTAGGAGGGGCCTGGCCTAGCCCCATCCCCTCAGGGGAGAAGGCAGAACAGACAGAAAGACAGAGCAAGGCGGGCCTGCGGATAACTTAGTTTATGAGTCAAGCCAATGCAATGCAAAATTGTTTCTGTTCCTTTTTGTTTTTTTAACCAAAATAAATAAATCAGATCTGTCCCTGTGAAGGTCAGAGTGATGAATGGGGGGGAGCTGGCCCCTTGGCCATGGCCTGCCCCTCATCCCCGGCCCCTCCTCTCCCTCTTCTGACCTGCTTTGGCACAGCAAAGAAAATGATGCATCTGAAAGTCTCCACTGGGTTAAAGGAGAAAGAAAGAGTGGTGGGGTGGGCAGGAGGCCGAGGGAGGAGGTGGGGGAGGTGGAGGGTTAACAGGACCAAGACAGCACAGCCAGTTCCCCTGCGGTGGCAACCTGAGCGGGCCTTCCTGGCCATGCACAGACTCAGTAGGCTCCAGGTCCTGTCTGAGCCCAGGCGGGGTGGGTGGGGCATGCTTGGGCCCCACACACAGCCTGAAACCCTTGAAAAAACAGCAGAGAATGGATACTGCAGAGACCAAAGCTGCCCTCTGTGCCAGGTCACACCAAGGCTCTCTGCCAGCTGCCCTGTGTCATCCTCAGTTCATACCACAGCTGGGGCCCAGCCTAGAAACCTCTGCCAGCCATGGCTAGATCTCACTCTAGGCTCCTCTACAGATTCTAAAGCTCAGCCTTAAGACGAAGCTATCCTAGTCCCAAATACAGGGGCCTGTGCCTTGCTGGGTGGCAGGGGTTGCCAGCAAACTAGGAAGCCACACGAGGCCCAGTCCCTACCCGAGGGGGTGACACTGGTGGGGAGGGTTGGGGCCAGAGCTGACCCCTCCCCAAGGACATCCCTCAGGGGCTACCTTTCTCCTCCTGCTCCCCCACGGCCTCCTGGAAAACTGCTCAGAAGTCAGCGAAGCCTGGGCAGCGTGTGGCCTGTGGGGCAGCCAAGCACTGGAGGGGACGATAGCCTAACTCCTACGAGAGCAGAGGGAGGGGTGTGGCACAGCGAGGAAGGCGGCGGTGTGGGCTGCGCGGAGGCACTATTCTTTAGTTGAGAAGCAAGGGGCAGTCATGGGTGTGGAGAGGGCAGTGGCCCAAGCAACCCTAGGCAGCATCTATGACAAGTTCTTGAAGACATCCAGGTCGAAGGCCGTGTCCAGGAGGCGCTGCAGCTCTGTCAGGTGGGTCTTCTTGTTGCCGGTGGCTGGAGCAGCTGCTGGGTCCCGGCCGGCATACCTGAGAGATGGAGGGAAGGGACAGTGAGGGCAGTGACCACTGAGTGGGCCCAGCCCATCTCTGCTTCGTGTGCCTGGCTAACTGCCCACTGGCCTGAGGGGAGAGTCCCACAGCCTTCCTGGCAGGGACCGAGGCCTTACCAGACGGGCTTGGCGCGGCTGATGGTGGTCCGAAGTCTCGGCTTCACGTAGTCGTAGTAGCCTTGGTTCTTGTGCTCCTCCTGGCACCAGGCCAGCTCAGCATTGGGGTACTTCTGCACCTCCTTCAGCAGGAGGTCAAAGGGGAATGGCGACAGCTAGAAGACAGCAGGGGTCACATCAAAAAGGGGAAACTTGGAGGGCGGGCAATATCCAGCAAAGGGAAACTGGTGTTCTGAGCAGGGGAGGTCAGGAATCTGAGGGCTGCACCCCCAGCAAGGCTGTTCAGTGAAGGCACCAGAGCCCTGACCTCTGCAGGGGGGACAGCCTGACGGCACCATCCATCCTCACCTGCTCGATCCTTGTGATGGCCACCTGCCCCACCATGTCACGTGCTTTGCGCTCCCGGGTGAGGTCATAGTACACCTTGCCAGTGCAGAAGAGAAGCCTTCTGACGTTCTCCGGGTTCTGGGCTGCAGGGCCATCCTCTGGGATCACCCGCTGGAAGTGGGTTCCTACAAGAGAATTCCCGTGGCTGGGCTGCTTCTCTCAGGGGTGCGGCTGAGAGCTCTCCTGGAGCCAGGGCTGTGCCATAGACTGCTGCCAGGACAGGCAGCTTTCAAGGGTTAGAGATGCTTCCCATTCGCCAGCCTCTCCCTGTATTTGCTCAGACCAAGCGCGCTTTGAAAAGCACATAATGTGTAACAAACACACAGCAGACATGGCCAGTTCAGGGTATCCTTCAAAACAACTCGTCTTAGACTTCAGGAACAAGTAGGTTAAAACAGCCCATGTTCACTCCATTTCTACCGCTCAGGATTTTACAAATATAAACACTTGCAACACAATCTGAGAAAATATTTAGATAGAGAACAGTGGGTTGGCTGGGTGTGGTGGCTCAGGCCACCACAGTACTTTGGGAGGCTGAGGCAAGAGGATCCCCTGAGCTCAGGAATTCAAGACCAGCTTGAGCAATATGGTAGTACTCTGCTTCAACAAAATAGAAAAAAACTTAGGCCAGGTGCAGTGGCTCATGCCTGTAATCTCAGCACGTGGGGAGGCTAAGGCGGATGGGTCACGAGGTCAGGCGTTTGAGACCAGCCTGACCAACATGGTGAAGCCCCGTCTCTACTAAAACTACAAAAAAATGAGTTGAGCATGGTGACGTGCACCAGCTACTCAGGAGGCTGAGGCAGGAGAACTGCTAGAACCTGGGAGGTGAAGGTTGCAGTGAGCCGAGATCGTGCCACTACACTTCAGCCTGGGCAACAAAGTGAGACTCTGTCTCAAAAAGAAAAAAAAAGTGGGTGGAAGGGTACAAACATACAGTTAGATAGAAGGAATAGATTCAATATTTGATAAACGAGTAAGGTTAACATACATTGTACTAGGGTGATGGACACCCTAATCCCCTGACCTAAGCACTACACATCATATACACGTAACTAAAACCCGTTGTGTTTTTATATACTAACAGTGAACAATAAGAAAAGGAAATTAGGACAACAATTCCATTTATGATAGCATCAAAAAGAATACCATAATGTGGTCACAGTGGCTCACATATGTAATCCCAGTACCCCGGGAGACCGAAGTAGGAGGATCACTTTAGCTGGGAGCTGAGGCTGCAGTAAGTGATGATCACATCGTGCACTCTGGCTTGCGCAACAGAGTGAGACTGTCTCAAAAATACACAAACAAAAAATAAAAAACAAAACAAAAAATTAGCTCAAAGTAGGCCAAAGATCTAAACACAAGAGCAAAAACCATAAAACTCAGAAGAAAACATAGGGAGAAAGTTTTACAACAATGAATTTGGCAATGATTTCTCAGATATGACACCAGAGTCAGAGACAACTGAAGAAGAAATAAGACAAATCCAACTTCATGAAAATTAAAAACTTGTGTACATCAGAAGATACTAACAACAGCCCAGGTTCAGTGGCTCAGGCCTGTAATCCCAGCACTCTGGAAGGCCAAAGTGGGCAGATCACCTGAGGTCAGGAGTTCAAGACCACCCTGGCCAACGTGGTGAAACCCCATCTATACTAAAAATACAAAAATTAGCCAGGTGTGGTGGTGTGTGCCGGTAATCCCAGCTACTTGGGAGGCCAAGGCAGGAGAATCATTTGAACCAGGGAAATGAGGTTGCAGTGAGCCAAGATCATGCCAATGCACTCCAGCCTGGGTAATAGAGTAAGACTCCAACTCAAAAAACAAAAACAAAAACAAAACAACAACAAACCCAAAAACAAAACAAAAGATACTAACAACAGAATAAAAGAACAACCCCTAGAATTCTCCCTAGAATGGGAGAAAATATTTGAAAATTGTATTTCTGATAAGGAATTAATATTTAGAATATACAGATAACTCTTAAGACTTAAAAACAAGCAACCAGATTCAAAAATGGGCAAATGACTTGAATAGGCTGGGTGCTGTGACTCATGCCTGTAATCTCAATACTTGAAGAGGCTGAAGGAGGAGGATTCCTTGAGCCCAGGAGTTCAAGACTAGCCTGGGCAACCTAGTGAGACCCTGTCTCTTAAAAAAAAAAAAACACTTAAAAAGGATTTGAATAGACAGTTCTCCAAAGAAGATATACAAATGGCCAATAATATAAAAAGATGCTCAACATCACTTAATTATTAGAGAAATGTATATCAAAACCACAATGCAATATCATCTCACACCCATTAAGATGGCTACTATGAAAAAAACCCCAGAAAATAGTAGGTGCGGAGAGGCTGTAGAGATGGTGGGATCCTCATATACTGTTGGGATGTAAAATGCAGCCACTGTGGAAAATGTGGCAGTTCCTCAAAAAATTAAAAATAGAATTACCATATGGTCCAGCAATTCCCCTTCTGGGTATATATTCAAAAGAACTGAAAGCAAGGACTCAAAGAAATATTTGTACACCCGATGTTCATAGCAGCTCCTCTAATCACAATAGCTGAAACATGGAAGCAACCCAAGTGCCCATTGACAGATGAATGGATGAGCAAAATGCGGCATACACATATAATGGAGTATTATTCAGTCTTTTTGTTTTGTTTGGAGACAGAGTCTCACTCTATCGCCCAGGCTGGAGTGCAGTGGTGCCATCTTGGCTAACTGCAACCTCCACCTTCCAGGTTCAAGCAATAGTCCTGCCTCAGCCTCCCCAGTAGCTGGGATTACAAGAGTGAGCTACCACACCCAGCCATGTATCATGAGCCTTTGCAACCAAAAATCTGGCAAGAGCCAGTAAGAATCCCAAATGTCAGCCCCACGAGCTACAAAAGAGCAGCAGCAAAGAAGCCCCAAACATATCTTCCCCTAGGAAATGCCCGTCTCCCTCACACCCACCTGGTAGCATCTCATCAAAGCTCGATCTGGCCTCAGGGTGGCGCAACAGGGATTTAGGGGTGAAGATAATTAACTGAAATACAGAACAACAGGCTTGTGAAGGATCAGATCCTGGAGATTCCAGAAGGAAGGTCAAAGGAAAGGCTGCCCAAGCCTTGACCTTCAGGCCATGAAACACAATGACCTGCCCAGGTTCAGGGGTCATATTTCCTTTTACCTCCTCCTCTGCCTCAATGGGAGCCTCAGGTCAGAAGAGGCAGAGGAGGAGGTAAAAGGAAATATGACCAATTTCCCTGACGTTTACCTCCCTTAGCCAGGCATCCACTCATGGCAGGGCCCATCCCAGCCTGCACAGACTCCCAATCCTCCTCTCCCTGCTTCTCTGTACCTAGGAAAGAACTCTGACCCTCTTCCTGACAGCTGCAGAGCAAACGCACTCAAAAGATACCCAAAGTCCATCTAAGGCTGTGACATGGCCCAGCACCAAGAAGCACCAGGGCTGTTCTGCCCTGTGGGCCCTTGGGCTGCTGGGGACACTCTGAGCTGCGAGCCTTAGCCCTAGCATCCCAGGGCAGCAGGGCACTCTCCCTGGGCTGTTCCCCACACTCCTTCCTTCCTAGGAATCAGTTCTCCCACTTATCCCTCCACTTAGCTTCTATTCACCCTTCAACACCCAGCTCAGGAGCCGTTCTCTCTGGCTCCTGAGCTGGACCCTGCACTCCCTTGGCCTCTGCCAGGGCTCACCTTTCTTCCAGAGCTCAGCACACCCCCTACGACCACCAGTTCAAACATCCGTCCTCCCCACCAGGCTGGAGCCTGCAGCCTGTGTGATTGCTCTGCACGTGGTGCTCAGCAGCATGCAGGGGCCCAGCTGGGGAAGAGGACTCGCAGAACATGCAGTTCCCTCATGGCAGTGATGAGGAGGAGGGGCCAGGCTCCCTGAGGCTAGGTCCTGCCCATAGCCCCCACTGCAGGTGCCCACCTAGCCAACCCCAAGCAAGAGGCTCTCTGAGGAGCCCTTTCCTGCACCAACAGGGCAGGGCCAGGCCTTGTTTGAGCAAAGGAGGCCCTGCCACTGACCGGCTTCCGGAAGGGCAGCAGGATCTGGCGTCGCAGCACGTGGAAGAAGTTGCCAGGGGTGGAGCAGTTGACAACAACCCAATTGCAGTCATACAGCTGATTGATGTCGAAGTTGGCTTCCTGAAGGTCCTGCAGCAAGGAAGGAAATGGCCAGAGGCCAGGATGCAGCACTGAGTCTTCTGGGGCATCCAGGGGCCCTCAGGGGATCTAGTTTGGATATTTGTCCCTGCCCAAATCTCATGTTGAATTGAAATCCCCAGTGCTGGAGGTGGGGCCTGTTGGGAGGTGTTCAGATCATAGCTTGGGTTATGTGATAAGTGAGTTCTCACTCTGAGTTCACATGAGATCTGGTTGTTTAAAGTGTGTGGCACCTCTCTCCCACTCTCTCTTGCTCCTGCTCTGGCTATGTGACATGCCTACTCCCCGACTTCATCTTCCGCCATGATTATAAGCTTCCTGAGGCCTCCCAAGAAGCTGAGCAGATGCCAGCATCATGCTTCCTGTACAGCCTGCAGAAATGTGAGCCAATTAAACCTTTTTCTTTATAAGTTACCCAGTTTCAGGTTTTTCTTTACAGCAACACAAGAATGGCCTAACACACTGACTTACCAGGAGACGTACCCCGACACTAAGAAGTGAGTCCAGCAAGCTCTGCCGGCCAGCCTCACACCCTGGAGGAGAACCTCAGTCCCACTCAATCCCTCCTATTTCTCTGAAAGCAATTGCCCAGCACGAAACAGATACTACTTTAAAGACACAAGTTCTACCTAAAACCTATTCTAATTTTCTTTAGACACTGACTCTTAATCATTTTCTTTGGGTTCTTTTTTTTTAAGACAGCGTATTGTTCTGTCACCCAGGCTGGCGTGCAGTGGCAGAATCTTGGTTTATTTTAGCCTTGACTTCCCAAGCTCAAGCAATCATCCCACCTCAGTATCCCAAGTAGGTGGGAATGCAGGTGTGTGCCACGATGCCCAGCTAATTTTTTACATTTTTTGTAGAGACGGGGTCTCACCGTGTTGCCTGGGCTGGTTCTTTGAGTTCTTAAAGTTTCACTAGAATCACCCCAAAGTTCTCTCCTCTTGTTTTTTGAGATGTAGTCTCGCTTTGTTACCCAGGCTGGAGTGCAATGGCATGATCTCGGCTCACTGCAATCTGTCTCCTGGATTTGAGAGATTCTCCTGCCTCAGCCTCCCAAGTAGCTGGGAATACAGGCGCGTGCCACCATACCCAGCTAATTTTTGTATTTTTAGTAGAGACAGGGTTTCACCATATTGGCCAGGCTAGTCTCTAACTTTTGACCTTGTGATCTGCCCACCTTGGCCTCCCAAAGTGCTGGGAGCACCATATGAGCCACAGCACGCGGCCAAGTTCTCTCCTCTTAAATATGTACCTGAATCAGGGTCTGGGAGCATCTCCCAGGAGTCTGTGCTGAGGAGCTCGCATGGCGTTTCTGTGCTTGCAGCAATAGCAGGAAGCCAATGGAGGCAGTCCCTGCACCTTCCTTTGTGCTCTGAGGAAGTCTCCCATCCCAGGGAGCCCAGAGGTATGGGGCCACACCTGTCCACCCATGCGTGCTCCCCAGGATAGAGGGAAGGACAGAGCCATGGTCTGCCACCTCAGGATGTCCACATAGCATGTCCTTCCCCAGGGTTCCTATGAGACACCCTGAGAACAACTAGGCTGACGGGGCCCGTATTACTCACCGGCAGGACGTCTGGGTCATCATTGCACATCTGCAGGAACCGCTCTGGGCGGGCTGAGGAATGTTCTGGACCCTGGAACCAGACACACGAGTTACAGTTTAGGAGCTCCTGCATACTGACATTTGCTGCATTTGCCGTTCCTCCTCCTTAACCAACTAGCTCATTTCTGGTTATCTTTTTTCTTGATGGCAGTGTTTGGTTCCTTCCCCCTCCCACCGGCAAAGCACTTGGTTCCTCATCATTTCCACACTTGGATGCCTGCACGTCTAGGGAGTCTGCACCAGCAGGGATGGGGCATGCTAGCCATATCCAGATGGGCTACTCTGGCCTTCTGAAGTGACATCCCATCTGAGATGGATGAAAAGCACCAGCAGAGCCCTTAGGAGGCTGGTGTGAGCCACTGGATCTCATGCCGGTCTTTGGGGTCGGGGTCCTACCTAGGCCCTTCCCAAGTGCTAGGTCTGGCAGGGAAGGGCCAGAGGCTCACCATGCCCTCCATGCCATGTGGCAGCAGTAACACGATGCCATTCTGCCGCACCCACTTGGCTTGTCCAGGGCAGATAAACTGGTCGATGATGCACTGAGCCGTGTTGTGGAAGTCACCAAACTGGGCTTCCCAGAGAACCAGGGCATTAGGACTGGCCATGGCGAAGCCCAGCTCAAAGCCTAAAAAGGACAAAGGAAGGAGAAAACCATGTCCAGGACACCAGTCAGTGGGCTGGGGGCTGGGTCGGGAAGAGGCCCCGGTGAGGTGGCTCCAGGCACTCACCCAGCACGCCGTACTCAGACAGTGAACTGTTGCACACGGTGTAGGGGGCCTGGTTGGGCCAGAGGTGGTTCATGGGGATGCAGGTTCTCTTGTCCACGTTTTGGTCATGGAGCACATGGTGGCGGTGGCTGAGACAGGACAACAGAGGTAATAACCAGGAGCTCTGACTTGACAAGCAAATATGCTGGGGACCCTCACAAAGCATCAGCAGATGCCACGCTCTGTGACCTGGACTTCTGACTAGGCAGCTGCAGAGTGCAGCCCCACCCAGGTCTTAACAGAAGCATCCACAGCAAATGAGGGATAGAGGCTTTCAGCCTGAGAGCAATGGGACTCAATAGTGGTCTTCTGGAAAAGAAACACCAGAACCCCTCCCTTTGCATCTCCTACTCTTTGGCGGGCAAACAAGACCGCCCAGAACATTACCTGAATGTGCCCCGCTCCACGTCCTGGCCGCTCAGCCGGATGTGGATGCCCTCCTTCAGGAGCGAGCCAAATGCCATGTACTCCGCCAAAGCCCAGTCCACAGTCCGGTTCTTCACCATTTCCCCACGAGTTTTCAAGATCCGGCTCAGCCCTGCAGAGACACAGCTCTCACCAGCTGCTGCAGGCCCTGCCTGCACATGCCTGCCTTGCTTCTCAGCAGAGCCTTTTCACTCATATAGTTTCTGGGTTCCTGACTCGTTGGAAAAGCTGTGACCTCAGTCTCTCCTTTACCACTGAGGAAGTGTAGGATCGTGCTAAGGGCAGGGAGTGAGAGAAGTGGCTCCATCCAACCAACCCAGAGGCCTCGAGCAGGGCAAGAAGGGAGTCTCTGTAGGACACATGATGGGGGCCAAGGTCACAGTCCTGGACAGTCGGCGCCACTGGCCTGGGCGCAACATTTCCACAGGTCAGCACAGAGCTTGTTACCTCCATGAATAGTGAAGTTTTCCACAGGCACAGAGCTAGCCACGTTCCCGATGTGTGTCAGAATATCCTCTGTCAGACCCGTGGAGGGACAGGACATGCTCCTGGGCTGCCCGTCCAGGGTGAAGAAGCCTAGGAGACAAAGGATAACTGAGGCATAACATCTGCTCTACTTTCCAGGGACCACACCTTGGCAGACGCATGATTTTGGGGAGAAGCATGATGAGAGACAGCATAGCTCGCACTGTGTTCCCCAGAAAACATTAGTGCAGGGGTCTCAGTCTAGGGTCTGCAGGGAGGTTTGCTGAAAGGGTGCACACAACTGTGTATTGTGAGTACAAAGTGGGGAGCATGAATTTTTCCGGGAAGAGGATGCCTCGTTACATCAGATCCTCAAAGGAGCTTCTTTGTGGCACTGTTTCATCACTCACCAGGCCAGGGGGAGTCCAGCCAGTGCTTAATGTGCAAGATCTTCTCATCTTTAGATCTGGCAAAAGCTTCCTCACAGATCTTATCATACTTGGAAATTTCCTCCTGGAGGGTTGGGCACAACACAGCAGTGACTGGCACAGGGCATGACTATTGCATGTGCCCACCCGTACCCCCACACTTTCTGATGGCCACCATGCAAGCCCAACCATACCCCTGGCACAATCCCATGCATGCCCATCCATACTCCCACATTTCCTGGGTGCAAAACATCTCAGACTCGGCCAGCCTCTAGGCCTGCTCCTTCTCAACATGTACAATGCTTTTCTAAGATTTTATTCTTTTCACTCCCAAAAGTTTCTTCCCCACATTTGCTGGTAGAGATCCTGCTCGGAGTTTGAACCCCTAATCCTTCACCACATTTTTTCTTAAGAACTGGTCCCAGGCAGCTGAGCGTGGTGGCTCACGCCTATAATCCCAGCACTTTGGAAAGCCGAGGCGGGTGGATCACCTGAGGTCAGGTGTTTGAGACCAGCATGACCAACGTGAAGAAACCCTGTCTCTACTAAATATATAAAATTAGCCAGGCTTGGTGGCGCATGCCTGTAAGCCTAGCTACTTAGGAGGCTCAGGCAGCAGAATCGCTTGAACCTGGGAGGCAGAGGTTGTGGTGAGCCGAGATTGAGCCATTGCACTCCAGCCTGGGCAACAAGAGTGAAAATTCCATCTCGAAAAACAAAAAACAAAAAACAAAAAAAAGAACTGGTCCAGGCAGGGTGCGGTGGCTCATGCCTGTAATCCCAGCACACTTTGGGAGCTCAAACAGGCGGATCACTTGAGGTCAGGAGTTTGAAACCAGCCTGGCCAATATGGGGAAACTCTGTTCCTACTAAAAATACAAAAATTAGCTGGGTATGGTGGCTCGTGCCTGTAATCTCAGCTACTTGGGAGGCTAAGGCATAAGAATCGCTTGAACCCAGGAGGTTGCAGTGAGCTGAGATCACGCCACTGCACTCTAGCCTGGATGATGGAGCTAGACTCCATCTCAAATAAATAAATAAATAGGGCCGGGCACAGTGGCTCAAGCCTGTAATCCCAGCACTTTGGGAGGCCGAGGCGGGTGGATCACGAGGTCAAGAGATTGAGACCATCCTGGTCAACATGGTGAAACCCCGTCTCTACTAAAAATAAAAAAAAAAAATTAGCTGGGCATGGTGGCGCGTGCCTGTAATCCCAGCTACTCGGGAGGCCGAGGCAGGAGAATTGCCTGAACCCGGGGGGCGGAGGTTGCAGTGAGCTGAGATCGCGCCATTGCACTCCAGCCTGGGTAACAAGAGCGAAACTCCGTCTCAAAATAAATAAATAAATAGATAGATAGAAAAGAACTGATCTAGCTCTCATGGTTCCTGGTACAGTCCCAAGAAGGCGTGGGCCTCAAAGCTCCATCTCCAGCATAGGCTATAGGCTATCAGGCTGTTCTGATCCGGGACCTGTCCTGTTCCCATGCTCAGACACAACTCCTCACACCCACCCTCTCCCTCTCTGGGGCAGGTGCTTGGCCTTCCCATTCACAACCAACCAGCACTTACTATCCGGATTACAACAAGCCCCTTACCAAGCTGGACCCACCACCTACCTCTCACCCCTGCACGATTTGTGAAATCTGAGAAAACCTCCTGGGCCACTACTACCTCAACCTGGAAACATCCCCTTCTTGTCCTCAAAACACTGTTTAAGGTCCACTTCCTTCACAAAGCATCTCGGTGGCCTAGATTCTTTGAAAAGTTATGCATTGAAATGCTATAGTTGTGAGTATTTCACATGCTCCCATATGTATCCTCACTACTTGCAAAAGTGAGAACTGGCCCTGTGGCCTGCCTTTTCTAGTCCTCCCCGGCTCTGGAAAGGCGGGATAGAACCGCAGGGACGCACCTCATACTCGGGCTGGTTGACCACGCCCTGCGACACCAGCAGCTCGGCGTACTTCTGCAGCACGGGCTTCTGCTTGCGGATCTGCTTGTACATGAGTGGCTGCGTGAACATGGGCTCGTCCATCTCGTTGTGGCCGTTGCGCCGGTAACACACCTGCTCAGAGCGGTGATAGGGTGTCAGAGACTAGGGCTGGCTCCTTGGGAAGAAGTGCTGTTGGGGCACCTGCTTCATCTCTCCTAAGGGATGGCCACATTGCTCATGCCTCATGCCTGCCCTGGAGTTTACCTTCTCTAGAATTAGGATCCTTCGCACAGTAGAGCTGCTCTGCCCGTCAATGAGTGGCCCACCTCACCACCACAGCTCCCGCCTGGGAAGCATTCCTTGGTGCTCCTAGGCCTGAACACTTTGGAGCTCAAAGGATCCTGCATGAGGCCTGGCAGTAGAGAGCCCTAAAGTGACTCATCAAGACAAGCTCCTCTCCTTGGGACACAGGAGTGCCGAGGGCAAGAGGGGTGGGTGGGTCAGATGCTCTACCCAGGACGTGCTGTCCCTGGGGTCACTCACCAAATCGACAACCACATCCTTGTGGAAGGTGCTCCTCCACTCGGCCGCCACTTTGCACACATACATGACAGCTTCGGGGTCATCTGAGTTCACGTGGAAAATGGGGGCATTCACCACTCGGGCCACGTCGGTGGGGTAGGGGGAGGAGCGGGCCATCCGAGGGTCGGTGGTGAAGCCGATCTGCAAGGAACATGTAGTATAGCAAGAGGGCACCTGGCACAGCGGCACAGGACCAGAGGGCAGGGCCGAGGCCGGGCATGGCATGCACCTGCCACCTGGCTCCTCTGAGTAAGTGCCCCCAAATGGCTGTTTACATTTCTTTTCCTTTAAGTTTTGTTTTTTTCCTATTGTGATAACAAAATCCACACATATTTAACAGATAATTATTTATTTATTTAATTTTAGAGACCGGGTTTCTCCATGTTGGTCAGGCTGATCTCAAACTCCTGACCTCAGGTGATCTGCCCACCTCAGCCTCTCAGAATGCTGGGATTACAGGTGGGAGCTACAGTACTCAGCCAGAAAAGAAAATGTAAAGGCTTCATAACATTCCCTACCACCCAGATGTACTAAAATTTAATGACATATTCATACTTCTAGGATCTGCATTTGAAGTTTTATCTTATGACATATTTCAAACATGAAGTATGGTAATACTACACTCTCACCCAAGAGCCCGTCACCTAACAGGAACACATCTCAACAGTTCTGCCATGTTTGTTTGTGGACCTGAATGTTTCTGTCACAGAGGCTCAAGCCCACAGGCCTCCTGACCCTGAAATCAGAGGTTTCTAATGATACCACATGTGTCTGTAACAGCATATAGTATCTTCTGAGGCTTCTGGGTAACTTTTATTTTTTATGTTTTTGAGACAGAGTCTTGCTCTGTCACTCAGGCTGGAGTGCAATGGCACAATTTTGGCTCACTGCAGCCTCTGCCTCCCGGCTCAAGTGATTCTCCTGCTTCAGCCTCCTAAGTAGCTGGGATTACAGGTGTGTGCCACCATGCCCTGCTAATTTTTAAAAATATTTTTGGTAGAGACGGGGTTTCACTATGTTGGCCAGGCTGGTCTCGGACTCCTGACCTCAAGTGATCTACCCGCCTCAGCCTCCCAAAGTGCTAGGAGTACAGGTGTGAGCCACCGCACCTAGCTGACTTAAATTTTGATGTAATTTCAAATTCATGAGAAAGCTGAAAGAGTACTACAAAAAACTCCCATACGATCTTCACTTAAAGTAACCACATGTTTACATTTTGCCCCCTCTGCTTTAATTATTCATGCTCTACCATTACACACATACACCTTTCCCCTGAACCATTTAGGAGACAGTTGTGGACCATTCCTATTTTCTAGGGAAAGTCTAGACATTCCCCTACCTCACCAAAGTGCAGCACTCAGCTTCATGCAATTTACACTATGTATCTGATCCACAGCCCCCAGACATCATGAGACAGCACTGTATGATCCACTCCATACTCACTCCATCGACTGTCCTAACAATGTCTACACGGTACTTCTTTCTCCCAGTATCCAGGCCAGACACCACACCGGACTTACTTGTCATGTCTCTCTAGTTCCTGCTATTCTGGAAGGCTTTCCTTGGTTTCTCATGGCATTGACATTTTTTAGAGTATTTCCATGTTTTCAAACTATACTGATATATACTCTATGTACCTTATATATGGCAGCATATTCTAAACACTGTACAATTCCCTTGCAGTCTGCCCTTTAACATTTGCTTTTATGATACATCCAGGCTGAAACATGTAGCTATACTTCCTTTATTCTCTGCTTCCTAGTAAAACTTATCTAGACACAGTATACACCACGCTGTATTTATCCACTCCTGTTGGTGGACATTACGTTTGTTTCCAATTTGTGGTAATCACAATGTTGCTGTACACATGCTTATACAAGTTTTCTCCTGCAAAGCTGAGTTTATCTGTGGTCTAATCCTAGGAAGGGAAAACTGAGCCACAGGCACGAGCATTTTCAATTTTTCTAAATGCTATCAGATGGCTCTCCTGAGTGGCTGTTCCAATCACACTCCTACTAGCAGCATGTGAACATCCTGCATTTTCCATTTACCACTGTGACCATTTCCCCAGGACATTAAACTTTTTAATGGTTAGTATCCCTTCCTATGGCTTTGCCAAATTTTATGCAACACTTCTGCTACTGAACATAAGCTCGATCAGGAGGAGTATCTAAACGGGTGGGTGTGCACACACATGATGGAGGTGCACTCTACCAGCAGGGGTATCTACACGGGTGGGTGTGCACACACATGATGGAGGTGCACTCTACCAGCAGGGGTATCTAAACAGGTGGGTGTGCACACACATGATGGAGGTGCACTCTACCAGCAGGGGTATCTAAACAGGTGAGTGTGCACACACATGATGGAGGTGCACTCTACCAGCAGGGGTATCTACACGGGTGAGTGTGCACACACATGATGGAGGTGCACTCTACCAGCAGGGGTATCTACACGGGTGGGTGTGCACACACATGATGGAGGTGCACTCTACCAGCAGGGGTATCTACACGGGTGAGTGTGCACACACATGATGGAGGTGCACTCTACCAGCAGGGGTATCTAAACGGGTGGGTGTGCACACACATGATGGAGGTGCACTCTACCAGCAGGGGTATCTACACGGGTGGGTGTGCACACACATGATGGAGGTGCACTCTACCAGCAGGGGTATCTACACGGGTGGGTGTGCACACACATGATGGAGGTGCACTCTACCAGCAGGGGTATCTAAACGGGTGGGTGTGCACACACATGATGGAGGTGCACTCTACCAGCAGGGGTATCTACACGGGTGAGTGTGCACACACATGATGGAGGTGCACTCTACCAGCAGGGGTATCTACACGGGTGAGTGTGCACACACATGATGGAGGTGCACTCTACCAGCAGGGGTATCTAAACGGGTGGGTGTGCACACACATGATGGAGGTGCACTCTACCAGCAGGGGTATCTACACGGGTGAGTGTGCACACACATGATGGAGGTGCACTCTACCAGCAGGGGTATCTAAACGGGTGGGTGTGCACACACATGATGGAGGTGCACTCTACCAGCAGGGGTATCTAAACGGGTGGGTGTGCACACACATGATGGAGGTGCACTCTACCAGCAGGGGTATCTAAACGGGTGGGTGTGCACACACATGATGGAGGTGCACTCTACCAGCAGAGGTATCTACACGGGTGAATGTGCACACACATGATGGAGGTGCACTCTACCAGCAGGGGTATTCTATCCTAGTGGGTGTACATGCACATATATGACAGGCATACTCCAAATATACCCTGTAGTTTTCTCCACTATGGGTGTATTAATAATACCTCTTCGTATACTATTGGAGGCAGCTATACTTACTACTATACCACCAATGCACTCTCTAAGTTTACTTTTGGGAGTGAGTGTGTTAGCAGGAAAATCTCGCTAAGAGGAAAAGCTGGTCTGGGAGTCAAAGGGACCGTAAGGCCAAATGGTTTCTCCTCTCACCCCTGACCCTTCTCACCCCTCCCATCTATTTCAGCCCTAACAACTCGTTCACTAGATGTGCCGTTACTTCCAAGGAGGAGGAATCCAAAACTTCTGGAGGAGCCAGTTCCCCTGTTGGAACAGGTCTCACTGTTGGAAGTTTTCCTTTCATTCAATTAAAATCTGCTTCTTGGTAATTGGAGCCACCCATTGGAGCTAACTTTGTCTATTAGATGCTTTGCTACATAAATCATTTATATTTGAAAACAGTATCCACATGTAAAAGAAGGAAGCGGGACTCCTTCCTTGCACCATACACAAAAATTAACTCAAAACAGATCATAAATGTAAGGGACAAAACAATAAAACTCAGAAGAAAACAGAGGAGGTACATTTTTGTGACCTTGGGTTAGGCAAAGCCTTCTTAGATATGATACCAAAACTCACAAGCAACGAAAGAAAAAAGCAAACTATGCTGGATAAAAAATAAAACTTTCGTGCTTCCAAGGACACCAAAATTGTCCCACAAAATAGGAGGAAAGGCTGGGCATGGTGGCTAATGCCTGTAACCCCAGCATTTTGGGAGGCTGAGGCAAGCGAATCACCTGAGGTCGGGAGTTCGAGACCAACCTGATCAACATGGAAAAACCCCATCTCTGCTAAAAAAAATACAAAAATTAGCAGAGCGTGGTGGCACATGCCTGTAATCCCAGCTATTCAGGAGGCTGAGGCAGGAGAATCGCTTGAATCTGGGAGGCAGAGGTTGCGGTGAGCTGAGATCGCACTATTGCACTCCAGCCTGGGCAACAAGAGTGAAACTGTCTCAAAAAAAAAGAATGAGAGGAAATATTTGCAAATAATTAGATACATGGCTCATATCCAGAATATATAAAGAAATCTTACAATTCAACTTTAAAAAGACAATTTGGTCAAAAAATGGGCAAAGGATCTGAATAGAAATTTCCCCAAAGACATACGAAAGCCAATTTAAGCAAATGAAAAGACACACATCATTAGTCATTAGGGAAATGCTAATGAAAACCACAACGAGCTAACCTACACCTAGATGGCTAGAGTAAAGCAGACGATAACAAGTGGTGGTGAGGATGAGAGAAAAACTGGAATCCTAGCCGGGCATGGTGGCTCATGCCATTAATCCCAACATTCTGGGAGGCTGAGGCAGGCGGATCACTTGAGGTCAGGAGTTCAAGACCAGCCTGGGCAACATGACAATACCCTGTTGCTACCAAAAAAAAAAAAATTGGCTAGAGTGGTGGTGCGTACCTGTAATCCCAGCTGCTCGGGAGGCTGAGGCAAAAGAATCCCTAGAACCTGGGAGGCAAAAGTTGCAGTGAACTGAAACTGCACCACTGAACTCCAGCCTGGGTGACAGAGTAAGACCTTGTCTCAAAAAAAAAAAAAAAGAAAAAGTGCTGGGCGAGGTGGCTCACGCTTGTAATCCTGGCGCACTTTGGAAGGCCGAGATGGGTGGATCACTAGGTCAGGAGTTCCAAACCAACCTGACCAACATGGTGAAACCTCATCTCTAAATGAATGAATGAATGAATGAATGAATGAACAAATAAACCTGCTATATTTCCAGTGGGAATGTAAAAATGGCACAGCCACTTTGAAATAGTCTGAGATTTCCACACAAAGTTGAACACACAGCTAC